AATGACGGGATTTTTCCCAAATCAACCCGTTAAAGTGCCACTGCGTTTACAGCGCTATTACGTCAAATACATTACGTCTGGGCGCTCCACCGTTAACAAATCGCGATCTTTCGGGGGATAAACGTTTCAACCATCGCTGCGCCCCGTCCCGCGACAATAACCACCATGCAACCGCGCGCAACGCACCCGCTTGAGTCCCGCAACGAAACACCCTCCGCGGCCGCGAGGTATTTAATCTCGACACCGTCGCGCCCCGATATTTCCACTGCAACACGCTTCCCCGACGCGCTGATCGCCGCGAATAATAATATATTATTACCACGACCTGGCTGGTGACAGCTCCGCGTGTCAGCCCCGCGCGCGTCTTCGGCTCGGCCGCGATCGCCGCTGATTCCGCGCGCACCAACCGCGATCACCGACGCGAGCGAGATAACGCACGGAGGCAGGAGTGATTGATGCGGCACATCCGCGCCCGACACCCACTTACTCTCTATCGCGGTGCCATGTGACGCGATTCGGACACGCACGCGAGCAACATCCGGCGCGGCTCCCTCGGCCGCCGTCCTCGATTCACCCTCGCTGCGTCGGGGGGGGGGAGGGGGAGGAGGGCTCGCCGGAGTTTGATCACAGACGCGAATTCGCGATGCCGGGAGGTCGTTCACTCTCGCCCGTCCTTATCCGCCTACGGACCGCGGACCCGTCCCTCGCGCCGGAAGGGATCAGACTTTTTCCTCCGGTCACTATTGGGTTCAACAACTGGAGGGCTCGAGCGGGAGGAGAGCGAGATTTTTGTTGCTTTTTTGTTTTCCGTCACCTTGCCTCACTGTTGCCGACGACGCGTAACGTGTTGACGGGGGTGGAGTAGGCAGCAGGACGGGAGTGAAGTCGTCGTCACGGCGTCTCGGCGCTTTATAGAACGGTCCGGGCGCCGCCCCGACGAAGCGGGTGGTGCACGCGACTTTGGTGCGCCTCGCGGGTACGGCCGTAGCCATCGTATATATGCCACCCACGCAGCGCGTCGCGCTGCTTGTTCGCCGCGTATTACCCACGTATCTTCGCTTACCTACGAGCTAGTTGCGGCCGAGTCCTGCCGCGAAATTCGTTCCCGCCGCGGGTCGAGACGAGAATACCTCGCGCCCCGGCGCCCGTTCCTTCCCGCTGGGATTTTTGCAAAATTGTTACAATTCATCCGGACGTACTTTACGACCGGGGAATTTATTCGTTTTATTAAGTTCGAAAAATTATTATTAGAGAATTGCATCGCCCGATATTTTTTAATGCATTTGTTAAAGGATAATTGTTAAAAAATTGCGTCGCGTAATATTTTTGAATTACAATTGAAGGGTTTAGCTTATTTGTTAAAAGATAATTATTAGAGGATTGTATCGCGCGATATTTTTTTAATTATAATTGAAGAATTCGTTTGTTAAAAGATAATTATTAGAGAATTGTATCGCGCGATAATTTTGAATTATAATTGGAGAATTCGTTTGTTAAAAGATAATTGTTAAAAAAATGTATCGCGTAATACTTTTAAATTATAATTAAAGAGTGTCGTTTATTGTTAAAAGATAAGAGAATTGTATCGTGCAATATTTTTGAAATGTCCTCTTATGCAAAGACTTGCCGATATTCCTCGTTGTGAAATTCACTCGTTTCAGATCGAAAATATTTCACCTCGCAATCAATATGCTTAAGATTTTCAATCGCAAATAAAATATTATACAATAATTGCATGAGAAAAATCAACTGACATATTAAAAACCACCTGCTATGAATTTCAGAGCGAAACTGATTATTAAAATTACTAAAAGTCCAAAATCATTATGTTGGAAGGTTTGCAATGTAAATTGTTCAGACGACAAAATACTAATCGCACGCTCTTGTCTAACGTCGTTTTTGCGCTATTAGCGTACAAATTTTTCTGGTCCCGATATGAAAGCCTTATTCAATTTACAAAGACGTATTATGTGCCGTCTTTGAAACCTCCGCCAATATCAATAACATGCTTCAGTAGCTACGTGTTCTCCACGATATATCGTCTTATACATAGTTGACGTCAGTTGAGCGCCGTGAAGAAAGACTATCTCTTTCATTCAACAATATTTATCGATATTTTCTTTCGGCTTTGAGATTATTTCTAGAATTGAATTTGCACCACGAGTCTGCAAACGCATACATTTATGTAATACTACAAGATATGATAACTTGATGATAGAAGCAGTAAAAATAATGTTATCATAATGGATGACGACAAATTATTCGCTTACGTAACTAACTTATAATCTTATGTATGTGTATAATTTTGGAAAAAAATTATAAATAACACGTATCTATGTATATAAAAAAAATTTTTCAACGTGAATATAAATTGCATCTCCCCTTCCCTTTGTTGAACCGATAAATTTGTTTCATTTCCATCACATTTCTATGTATTATACCTAATGTCGAAAAATCACACTATAAGGTAAAACACGTACGTATTTCGTGCACGATTCACTGTCATGAATAATGCATGTGGGAAGGAGACCATTTGCAGACGAACTTACCTCCTTTATGCATATATCTGATAGAGGAAAGGCAAGTCAAGGATATAGACGGAAAGTACGAGGGCAATAACCAATGCGAATTAAATCGACAAAGCGGTGTTAGTCATAATCTATCGGCTTTCTTATTTTCATACTTGGTGTGATCGACAGTACTACATACTCGGTAACGGTAGCATCCGTTAATACATACACAACGTATCAAACCCAACTACAAACCACGCATCTGCGCATGTGTATGAAAGACAGTTTACTTTCAGAATTGAGTATCTTTATTCATAGAATATCGCATATGTAACAACTGCACGTAACATCACATACCTGGCCAGAAATATCATTCTTCTCGTTCTCTCTGCTTTACAAGAGTCAATCTTGTCATAAGGTAAAATCATAAATACCTTCCTTATGCGAGTGCAATATCCAGAAATTCAGTAATATCGTTAAAATGGCACATTAACAAATTATAAATCCGCTAGTTAGAAATAGCGATTTATCTCGACGGCAGCTTTTTATAACGTTCCTCTTCGTATCTTATACGTATCTTATACGTAAAAAGTGAAATATAAAAATGCATTGGACCTGACCAAAGTATCGACATTCCCTCGAATGTTATTTCGTACTGTTACTTAATGGTGGCATAATATCTGATCTGTGCGACTATACATGCAATTAGGCAAATCGTCACGATGCGTGATGTAACAAGTAATAATTCCGCATGGAATTACACTCCCGTCGCAAGTTTCAGATACTTTACCCCTTACGACTTGACACAATTGCCAACTGTTCATTAATATCTTTTGGGTGATAAGCCAGATCGCTTCTTGCGGCTTACGCGATAAAAGCTGACTTTGTCTTTATCGTTGGTTACGATATTCGCTGCGTACAATCTAGTGACTAAAATGTTTAAAAAGCGAGACCAGCTTCCGAGTAGGTAGTGAATATCTTCTCGATCGAGTTGGCGTAAGCGGCTGTCCTCAAGTCGAGTCCAAGATTGAATTTTATGGCAGTCTTCATAATGGCCTGTTGAAAAAAAAGAGAATGTTTACGTTGGATTTAGCTTTGTCTAGTTTACATTGTTAAGTCTATAATTAATTAAATAAATTAGTAAGGCTCGTATGTGTTAAACACAAATTTCAAAGAATTTAAAGGACTCAGAGCCGTGACAGGATGGTAGTGTCTAAATATTCTATTCTAAATTTTTATAAATATAATTAATTTTTATAAATATAATTAATTACCCTAGCGGATCTCTCCATCGTATAATCCAAACCGGAGTGGACAATGTCTTTTTCGGAAGCGCCAGATATACGTTTCTGGAAGGCTTCGGATGGTGTAACGGGAATACGGCCGCCAACGCGACCGAACCTACGCTCTAGAGACTCTTGCACCGATTCTACAAAGATATATTTGTAAATTATTCGTTTCTTGTTTTGAAGCCGCGTTTGCACATCGAACTTAAATCAATTTCGTTGTCTAACGTACCTAAGAGATGATAATTAGATTCCCTTTCGTATTTAAAAGTAAGACGACCATATGACACGTGATTCAGGTTCTTTAACCACTCAAAGAACGAGACTGTGACACCACCGGCGTTAATGTACAAATCCGGGATTACAAGGATATTTCTTTCGATCAGAATCTTATCTGCGGCAGGGGTGGTCGGTCCATTAGCAGCCTCCGCGATAATCTTTGCCTGCAAAATCATGACTTCAATTAATTCTCATTTTTTAATTGTCATATTTGAGATCTTTTAAGATTTTATTATTATACAAAGAGTACATCAACTTAGTTATTTTTCAGTATTTATTCCAATAACTGAGTAGTTGTACGAGACAAGAAATCAATCCTGTTTTACACATGTAAATGTGGAGTAAATATTTCTATGTAGTACGTATGTAACACGCGTGACTTTTTAAATAGACACGGTGCCAAAGAATTACGTTATGAAACTCCTTTTGTTAAGTTTTTCGTGAACAAAGGGCGCCGGCGAAACTCTTTCGAATGTTACTCAGGAGGATGACATGGATAATGTATGTCCAGGTCAACGGGCTACGTTTCCTTTTCGGTAAATTTATTAAATAATCTTTACCTGGATACGTCCAGCATTGTCTTTGTTAATCACTTTCTCTACGGCAGCAGGTATAAATATATCACATGGTTCATACATGAGATTTTCACCTTCGTATGGCTTGGCCCCAGGGAAGCCAACGATAGTACCATTTTCTATACGGTATTCTTCCAATTCCTGAAATGCGTAGAAATAATTGTGAATAAGTATCACGTGTAAAAGAAAAGGACTTTTGTCATCAATCTTGTCGGAATTTGTCGGAAAAAATTTACAACAATTTTACTGGAGACAATTGCTGTTTACCTTTGGGTCGATACCCTCTGAATTATAAATCGATCCATCGTGTTCGATCACACCTATGCACGCGGCACCTGCGCGGTGTAAATAACGCATGGAGTGCAGACCGACATTACCGAAACCTTGGAGAATAAATGTTTTGCCTCCCCAACCGGGCGTAGTACCTATAAATTATTATACTGTTTTATTTATTCAGCTAACAAGCCTTTTATACTAGAAAGCAGATAAGCGTGAATTTTATCATTTTAATGTTAAATTAATTTTTATAATAATTTGATATCTTTCTGATGAAGTGATATCTCTTTTAGTGCCACTTAAGAAGATCATTTAATATAATTTCATATACGGTAATTAAAATAAGTAATCAGTTTACAAACGTACCAATCGTGCTCATGTAATTGGCTTCGTTGATGAAATTTTCTAATCCATGGAACACTCCACGTCCTGTTGCGGAAATGCGACCATGGATGCCACCTTGATTGATGGGTTTGCCAGTAACGCAAGCATGAGCGTTAATATCAAGATGGCCGATAGTTTTTGCATAAGTGTCGGCTATCCAAGACATTTCCCGCTCACCAGTACCCATATCCGGAGCCGGAACATCAACTCCAGGTCCTGGAAAGTACAAACAAATTCTTTCTAAGAAACATAAGGACGTAGACATAAATAAGATTAATTTAGAAAAGCTCCCAATTTAATACATAATATAATTCTTCAATACTGAAATAATAAGATAAATTATTACAACTTTAAGTTTTATTTCATTGATATAGTTTCAAAAATAATTAAAAATTTTACTTATTTCGTAAAAGGAATTATATGAAACAATAAGTCGAAAATATGAAATAAAACTTTTTTTACAGGAAATGGCTTCGTTTCGAAAATTAACAAAATTAATAAACATTCACACTTTTGACTTATTTCCAAGCTTGCCTTGTGCATGTGTTATAAACGAGTTTATCTCATTAGCGATTATCAAGATAAACAGAAGGATACAATTTTTTTCCACTGAAAAAAATCAAAGTAATTTCTTAGCTTCTTCGGTAACTTGAAATATTTTAAACCGTTTTATTTTTAAATGTCGTCACTTTTACGCATCAATAACTACTGTTGCGAGAACTCTGATGACACATACGCGCGAGATTGTTCAAAATTACTCGACCTTGTAAAAGTACAAATATGTGCGGAAAAGGACAGTTTTCTTAGTGTCGAGGCAGAACAACTGCCAATAACGTCGTTTACTTTAGATCAGATTATCCACAATCTCGATTGCTAACAATCTTTATTGCACACGAAGCGATTACCAAGCATTATTGCCCGTAATAACTTGAGATACGGATTCAGCACAAGCACACTTGATACTGTTAGCAACGTATTTGTCAGTAAATGAAATCTTCCTGGATATACTATTAACTTATAAATCACTTTTATCTCTCAAAAATACAATATAAAAAGATTTTTCGATATTTTCGACTATTTTTTTCCAAAATAAATTAATCTCGTTTTGATTCTACCAGTAGTTCGGAAGTTGTATATTATGTTTCTTCATGTACAGGACGGTTGTTAAGTACGTTCCAAAAATGAAAAAAGTAATTCCTTAGATGAGTTTATGAAGAAAAGTTTACGTACACTTTTCATCATAAATTATATACGCAAGAATAATACATTTCTTTATTTTTCGTACTTAAAGATCATCCCGTATATAGCGTTAAGTGCTAGATTGCTGCGAGTGGGTATAATTAACTCGCTCAAACCGGGAAAAAATAAATAATTCATACGATGTTAATTATACTCGTGGCAATCCTATACAACGCTCGAGACCAACTTGTTTACACATCCCATACTTTTAATCTCGCATCGGTATATTTTTATCACCTTTATCTATATACGTGTATGTACTATCGCCATTTAGTTTTTTCGCGCATAAATATTTCCCGCGAATAAAAATATCGGTAAGCAAAGTGCGCTTAAAAATCTACTTGTCACACTCGCTTGCACAGCGTTCGCTAATAAATCTTCATGATAACCGGGCCATATAGCCAGCTGTGCTTTAAGCAACGCACTTGGGTTTGTGACGTAACGGCGTTGAATTCTGTACAGTGATAGTAGGCATTACGAGAGCACTGGTGGAGCCTAACGGGTTTTCGCGTCTTCTCAGCGACGTCTAAAATTATCGCGCAACCGTCACGCCTTCGTTTATGACGATGTTACATCAGAGATTGTCTTCATCGAAACCTCGGCCGAAGAAAATGGAGCTATCAATGTTGCTTCCCTATTCTCTTCTCTCTCTTAATTCGGCGCGAACTCTTACCGATGAATCCTTTCTTTGCCAACTCCAATGTGAATCTTCTGGTAATTTTCTCCAGTTCGTGTTCCGAATAGTTCTTTGGATTGATCTTGATCCCAGCTTTTGCGCCACCGAACGGCACGTCGACGCACGCACATTTGAATGTCATCAAGGCCGACAGGGCCTTAACTTCATCCCGTGAAACATCCATCGAGAAACGGATACCTGTAATAAAAACATGTCTTAATTACTTCATTTTTTTCGGCTATAAATGAAATGTGTATTTAAAACGTAGCTATGTGAAGAGGCTGTCGAATTTTGAGTTTTCTTTATATCTCTGTTACGAACTGCTGAATATAATTGCTAATTATTGGAGAACAGGTATAGTGTTATGTTAAGTTCACGTATTAAAAAATAAGATTGTTAGAAAGTTTCTAAAATGCTTCATCCTGATATATTCTGGCACAGAATTGAGACATCCCATAAACTGGTTAGTTTTTATTCATCTGATATTAATGCTTGAATAAAATATGTGGCAAGAAAAACTGATTAATGATCCTGTCCTTGGCACGTAATTATTACTATCATGCATCTATCATATACATTTGCATTCTTCCTTCAAATGGCAGATATGTCTTTTCACACGTCAATTAATATACCATTTATTTTAAACGCTAAGGTCTCAGTTATGTTTCGTAGTTTAGAAAACACGCGCAATATAGGAATTTTATAGAAATAAGGAGAAATATAACACATGCGACAAATTTTGTATACTATAAATTTTGTATGAGAGATGAATAGAAATCAAATTGTATAATATAATTATTTACATAATTATCTATATGATTTTAAAATACAATGGTATCGTGTGTGATTTTACATAATTCTATTCCCTTAGTCATTCAGTGTAGAAATTTAAATTTTGGAAATCAATAATTTATGAAAAAGTTTTGAAATATACATACATTAAAAACCATGAGGTTCAAATTCCACAAAAACAAACTTTATATGGAATTAATTAAGTCGTAACGTTTGCGAGAAAATCGCTTAATTTCAACTTACTCAAAAAAGTTGGTGCGATATCAACATTTTTGTACATCGAAAAATTCATCTCCCACACATCTTCTATATTCCGATCGTAAAATTGTTATATGAAAAGGTGAATAGTGCACGAGCATATGACACATTTTTGTACTTCATTTCTTATCGCAAGAACTGGCCCCGTAACAGCGAAGCTATAAAAAAAAGAATCTAAAAATAATACCGTTGATGTCTCGCGAACGTTTTTCCACGCGTAGATAATCGTATTTTATTTGCCCACCAATTTGTGTGCTACCTCTAAAATTTCACGTGACACGCGATGTTAATGCCGCGATAATGAATTATTTCAACAACAGCTGGAATGCCACGTGACACCTCTTTCCGAGTACCTTGTTTAACAGCGAACAAATAGTTTGCCTTATTATATCATTTATTATAACAATTCCAATCTTGCATCTCGTTATCTGCCTCAATTGAAATTTTTAGAAAATGTGATCACACGAGTATCGCGGAAACCAAATCAATTCTATTTTTAAATAAGTAAATCTCAAATGTAGATATAAATTTTTAAATATAATTTTTTCATGTTGATAATAGTACACGATTAGTTTAGAACGTTGTCGATTTTCTTTACAGATTTCCATTTTACGTCGTTAATCAGCCTGATTTACGTATTTGCAGCTGTAAAATAAACAGTTTCTCCAACTTTCCCGTGATATTTAGTAGTATATAATAAATATATCGCAAAATAAAATGAATCACAACTTGTACAGAATCTCGCCGAGGCGAGAGCTTGCTCTACAAGCTCGTTGATCCGACGTATCATTGTCATTGTCATTAAAGACGTGCCCGCCATCAATTAATTTAGGACGGTCGCTCAGGCAATGGCCCTGGCATGACTAAATAAAAAGCTCGGAAAACGCCTAGTGTTACGTGCAAGACGCGACGTGATATTTTAAGTATTGAATGAATAGAAACTTTGTCCCTCTCGACTAAACTTGATTCATGCGACACGGTACGTTTGGCAAACAAAATTACTGCATCACGCCGATTATAAGTGTATGCGCTATGAGTTTAAGAAACTTTTGAGACAATCTGCGTTCAATAAGAAAGACAGATGCCCGTTAAAAATAATAACTTAAAGTGTCCTAAGAATGTGACTGACTTGATTCTTTTTGGAACGGGAAATTTCTTTGAAAATTGAAAGAAAACCAAGGTAAAGGTCAGCACATGTAAGCACCCAAAAAAAAATTCTATTCATAAGCGGGGAAATCCTCTAAGCATTTTCTCTAAGCAAGAAATCTTATATGAAGCATTTTCATCTCTAAAAGAGTAGACTCATAATTTATAATTAAGAATAAATTCTTTTATAGAAAATTCCATTACAGTAATACGACTAGCCTCTTAAAATAAAAGGATACGCGAATCGCAGCACGTGCGCCAGCTTCTGAGTAGTTCACCGACCGCCGCTAGGCCGCGCATGGTGGCGGCCAAAAACTCGGAAGCAAAATTCAGTCTCGTAGGGTATAAAAGGAGGCCCGCGAGAGTGAATTTTGCTTCCGAGTTTTTTGCCCTCACCATACGCGGCCTAGCGGCGGTTGGTGAATACTCAGAAGCTGGTGCCGGATTGCCAAATTTGTGCCGGATCACGCGTTTCGACCGCCACATAATACTTTATAAGATTAAAAGTAGAACATAATTCTTTTAAAAAGTTGTATAAATACTAAAAATAAGAATATTATCATATGTTACAAGAAGAAAAGATTTCTCTAGCATTAAGAGGATTGGAAGTTTAAATTTCATGCCTCAGTGTTATAGGATATTCCTCTAGATTTTAGAGGATTCCGCTTGAGGTCATATATAAGAATAAAATCCTCTAAGATTCAAAGGATTCCGCTAAAACTGAGATTAATTTTTTTTGGGTGAAGAGTCTCGGGTAGAGAAATCCCGTTCTTTTCTTTTGAAACACAAAATACACTACGGATAGCAATAGAAAAATTGTAGTGCCGTACATCAAGCTTCGCTTTCTATTTTGACTCGAATAAACTCGATCTCCTGCGAAGAGACATTTGTAATAATTTGCATGTGGAATAACGAATCCTCCGAGGAATTCGTTTATTCGCTCGTGAACATTTCCGCGAGTTATTTCGCGAATAAGCGATATCGTTGAAGAGTTAGATCGTTGTGCATTTAACTATTTGGAAAACTTTAAAACGTGAAAACACACTCATGGTTTTGATACAAGAGGAGTGATGTTATCTCGATTTAGATAGCAAATATGATATAACGATAATTATATCATTAGACAATTATATCATTATCTAAAAGTATAAGTCGTAAACGTGCCACGATTTCGGTCTTTCGCTCAAAAGTTATTTACAAATTATATTATGTCTGTGAATGTACGTTCTCCTTTCTGTTAGTTGATCTGCAACAGGCTGAAACAAGAGATAGCTAGATAGCAAGATAAAATGCGAGAAGCACTTTTAATACGTCAGCAGCGTAACGCGAGACACTGGCCATTTTATCTTCTTTTTTCCTTGTGTAGACAAATTACTACAATTAACGCATGGAATTGCAAAAAGTTGTAGCTAATTTTTTTGTTGCAAGAATTTAGGCGAATATGTGGATATGCAGACGTATTTGTTGTAAAATGTACGTTTTATAAAACTTGCGGAGTAAAAACGTAATAACAAAATGTATCGCATAAATCTACTAAAAAAAAAGATATACACGTTGTTTAATCCTTTCGTTCCAGCTGTAGCCACGTAGCTATGTATCTAGAAATAAAATTATCTTCTATGTAATTTCTCTTGTATAAAATGCTTAATATAAATTGTATTTCACTCATAAACAAATATTTCATCTAAATTCAGCATCTCTCAAGCTCAAAATTTCTCTAAAATTCTATGTATGTACATTACTTTCATTACTTCTTAATTTAATTTATAAGTTGCCCAATGAAAACAAAATCCTTTAGTGGTTTCAAAATAATTTTATGAATCGCTTATCACATAATAGCAAATAAATGTGTAGAAAGAAGAGAGTGCCAATGTGAGCCACAAAATGGGTCGAAACGTTTGCTATTAAAGAGAAATTTGGATTCTAAATTGTGAGGACCGAGCTCCGTTTATTTTGTGGCTCACATTGGCACTCTCCTTTCTATACATTTTCTTTTCGGGAGCTTTCACAACACTTTGGTATAAAATAAATATTCTTTCGAGTAACTGTTAAATAATTTGGAAGTAAGGATTAAACTTGGATAACATTAAAATGGTAAAATAAACTGTGTGACAAAGGCTCGTATGATATAAATCAGAATCAAGGAGAAAGGGCTCTGAGCCGTGACGAGATGTACGTGTCAAATTATAAAATAATTTATTGTTAAACTAACATAAAAATTAACTTAAACGTTTCGGTCGAATTCTAGACCATCTTCAGTAATATACAATAATTTTATACAAAGTGTCGTGACGGTTAACATATTAAAATGCCTTGGCATTTGCCAAGTTACCTTGCTACGACCATGCTGACCAAATTGATCCAGTTCACAGCATTTCCAACATAACTAACTCATTTTGGTACATTGCCTTTATTTCAACCTGCGTTTTTACAATGTTGTACACGATATGCGTTTAAATATGTTAACCGTCACGACACTTTGTATAAAATTATTGTATATTACTGATGGTCTAGAATTCGACCAAAACGTTTAAGTTAATTTTTATGTTAGTTTAACAATAAATTATTTTATAATTTGACACGTACATCTCGTCACGGCTCAGAGCTCTTTCTCCTTGATTCTGTAAAATAAACTGTTATCTAGACCTTCGTCGAAAAAAAAGTACCATAAGTGGTCAAGCCATAAAACTCTCTTAAGTATTGCGCGTTTACGTAAGACTTAGCAATAAATAACTAACTTGACAATCTAATCTAATAGCTGTACACGTGGACGTCGCGACAGTTTCTTTATGCAATTTGTACAAAACTTTTCGATAAGTTATTATAATAAAGCTAAAATTATCAGCCGTAAAAAAAAAGTTTAACGCCGCAACCTGCGAATGGACACTGAAAAACAAATATACATGTATTTGATATCGTACAAAACATTTTGCGCGAAAAAGTGCAAGTTTATCACCGACACCAGGTCGTAAACTGGTGGGCGATTTTTGTGCAAAAATAAAAATTCATAATGAAGCTTGCTCGCATTCTGTTTGTACAGCCCCTTGTCTCACTCATATCTCGAAAGGTAAAAGAGATGTAAAGTGATGAAACCATGTCCAGAAAATACTTTAATATCGCATATTGGTACGAAACTCTTTCGCATTCTTTATTCGATCCTTTGTATTGTAATTTTTATATAACCCGATGGAATTCGAAATTACATTGTCCAGTTTTCGAAACCTATCAAGAAAATATCTTGGCAATCTTTGACAATACCTTTTAAGATATCTATTCGAAAGAAATAACTTTTTGTTTGTACCTTTCAATATTAATAAATAATAATAAAGTTGGATGCTTACGTATTTACTGTCTTATTTTATATTATTCCCCCCCCCCTTAAAACGCAAAGGAAAATAATAAAGACAAGTGGAAACGAGATTACAGACAGACGAGTTATCAATATAAATTTATATCTTTCTACAAAAGACAGACACGTTCGTGTTATATGACTCTCTGAAGATATTTGCAACGATATCGCGTACGAAGTCATGTAGGGAAGAAGAGGCGGTCACGTGTGTTATCAATCACGTGTGTTAACGATAATATCTATCACTTACCGTCTCATCATTACGGCACAGTTTCAAGTATCTCGGAAAAGCGCGAATTCAATATACTCGAATCAAAGGCAAAATATTTCGCAGGAACCGATAATCCTTTTAACTCGGGAGTGTGTACTTTTTATATCCCAGCGGCGAGAAAATTTAATATTACAGTTTTACAGTAACTTTTTCAACCAATCTTACCTGAATTTTTCCGCTCATGCAGACTGAAGCTTTCATAATACAAAAAGTAAAAGACGTAGTCCGGTATTCATACACGAGAGAAGAGAATTTTCTTTTGAAATTTACCCTGAAAATTATGTAATCGTGGGACAACGTGGCAGTTTTCTAAAATTTTGACTACATTTTACTAGTAAAATGTACGATTCTTCTTCTTCTTTAGCGCTACAGCCCGATGTGGACCTTGGCTTCCTCAACGATTTGACCCCAGACTTCTCTATCCTGAGCCTTGTTCCACCATCCTCCAACTCCAATCCTTTTCAGGTCCTCCTTCACCTCCTGAAACCATCTTTTACGTGGTCTTCCTCGTCTACTAGTTCCAAGCGGCCTATCATGTAATACTGCCTTAGGTATTCTTCCATCCTTCATTCTTTGCACATGTCCCAGCCATTCTATACGTCTTGACTTGATAAATCTTGATAAATCTACGTCCATCTGTTCTAGTGTACTGTCTATCTCTGCAGTAAAATATATGATAGAATTTTTAAAAATCCCTCATAAAGTTGTGCAAAATGCCGTGTTGTCCCACGATTACACGATTTTCAGAATAAATTTCAAGAGAAAATTCTCTCTGTGTAGTCGTATCTTAACTTCAAGACCGCTTTGGATGTATCTAAAGATGCTGTACGGGATATTTCATTGGCTGAGGAGTATCCGAAGATGATCTTAAGACGGTCTTGAACACGTAAGATTTGACTATGAATACCGGCCGTAGCTTCTTCTGTTGAATTATTTAAACGCAGTTTTACAATGGGGCCAAAACTTTGTCCACAAAATCGTTCTTTCGCCATTACAGCATTTTTAATGCTTTACAGTCATAGGAGGAAAAAAAAGAGATAAAAGTCAAGAACGATGAATTGCAGTCGAAAGTTTCGCCGCATGTACTTGCGCCGATTGAACTGAATTGAGCCAATAAAATTTTCGCCACAGTCACCAATAAGTTTCGTCAATTTAAATATTAGAGGAAGGTCCCCTATTATGAGACGGCAACCTAATACGGGACGGCGGGGTCTCTGTTAAATTAATTATTATAATAATTAATATAGGCAGTTTGCCAGTTGATTCCACCGTGAATTGATTGCTCTTGGAGTGAAATCTATTCGGTGGAAGGTTCATCGTCGGACCGTGTAATCGTTGCGGCAAAAAAAATTCGCGATTGAATTTGGGCGTTGAAAACCTGCTGGTCTCATAATACAGGACTCGCGCGAAATCGATCGAAGGTACCGCCAACTATCTAGGACCAATTCGACGAGGGCAATCCACAAAAATAACCTTTCGACACCAACGTGACGCGTGAACGAGCGCACACATTTATGCTACAGATATTCCCGCTCGCGAGATCTCGACAGAAAATTCGCGACGACGACGACGACGACGATTCGATCAGCTACAAGAGAAAAGCGGATTTAACCAATCATCGCCGATAACTCGCGAGATATAAAAATCGTGGAGAATCGCGTAGGCGGGTGCCGTACCTCCTTTGCACGGCGTGCGATGAGCGGAGTGCTGGGCGCGATAGCCGGTGATCATCTCGTAGTCGCCGGAGTCGCGCCTGAGCGGGAACGTGGTCTCGAGTATGTGGTCGCAGGGCTCCATCATCATCATGATACCCTTGACCTTCTTCTTGCGCTCCTCGACGGTGACGCGCGACCGCTTGCCGACGTCCTCGACCAGCTTGTCCTCGATGACCTGGCAGGCGCGGTGGAAGAAGTACTCGACCATGTCGAAGAAGCGTGGATTCGGCGCCTCGGGCACGTCCTTGAGGCGCTCCGGGATCTGGTGGTCGGCGTAGCCGCGGCACGCCGCCGCCGCCTGCCAGGCGGCCGGCGTGGCCCGCGCCAGTACGCCCTGAACGTCGCCGCACGGCGCCTGCTTCAGGGCGATCGACGTCGACCGCGTGAGGCTCCGCAGATGAAACATGTTGGCGCGATAGACGGGACACCTACGACGACAACGGCGAGCGGTGACGGGGCGAGCCCGACGTTAAAGTATCCGCCGATCCGCGCGAATTTCACAGGGAGCTCGCCCGAGTGCACTGAGCCCGCCGGCTACCTGCGACTACCCTGCGGCCGTTACCAGTCGGTTCTAACCAGCTCCGACGCACCGTCAGCTTATTTTATCGGAGCACCCAGCGCCGAGCCACGAAGTATGCGTCGGTGAGAAGCGACGCGCGCGCCCGCGCCACAGTA